CAGTACCTTTTAATTGAACCATTTATTTAGTCTCTTTATGTTTAATGTACTTATGATACACAGTTAATCCTCATTTTTCATGGATTCCATATCTGTGAAAATTGCAAAATGCATTTGTAACCACATAATCATACTCTAAGTACTCTTATGGTCATTCATGGACATGCGCAGAGCAGCAAAAAAATTTGTCCTGTTTTTTGGCTGCTGGCTGGTATGGTGATCTGAACCTGTGACCTTAGTGTTATAAGGCTGTGCTCTAACCAACTGAGCGTACTGGCCAGCCCTGTCAAAAATTTTAAGGGAAAGTTATATGCCTGTATGGATACTCTCCAAAGTATTAAACTTAGTTTTTGTAGTAGTAGTAACTTCTTATTTTGTAGCCACATTTGTGCTCATTTGTGATCAGTTTACATAGCATTAAATCAAATTATACAACTGCAGTAATGAGTACAACTGATAAACAGGTTTGGAGATGAACAATAGATCTTTGATAATGTACCCAACTGGTGGAAGCAGAAATGTGCATGTTGATAAAGAGTAGCTTAATAAATGTGAGCATTCTGTACATTCTGGGCATTAGCTATATTACCCTTCTGACATTTTCCAGTTCCCAATAGGAGCCTGGCATTTAGCAGATGCTCAGAAAATGATGGATGAGCCAATTCAGTGTTTGGGTCAGAGTATGAAAATACATGCTTATCCATTTGTTTGGTTAGGATAATTGGCTTAAGTGTTTTATTTTATTTTTTAGTTTGGGGCAGCTGGCCTGTATGGGGATCCAAACCCTTGACCTTGGTGTTAACAATGCTGCACTGTAATAACTGAGCTACCTGGCCAGCCATGACTTAAGTATTCCATGTCATCCCAAAGAGAAGAGATTTAAAATGAGGTTAAAAATCTCTGAAAAGGATAGCTGATTTAAAAACAAATAACTGATCCCCATACTGGCCAGCCACCAATAAATAAATAAATAAATAAATAATAGATGTTTCTTATCCACACTTATATTACTTTAAATTAAGTCTTGGGTTATTGATTTGGAGATTGACAGCAACTCTTTTGCCTAACTATATATTTTTTTCACTAGAAGGTGTTTTCTAATTGGAGAAAATTAAAAAGAATGGATTCTAGGATCATAGAGCAAACAATAAACCTAAAGTTTTTTATATCCTACCACCTGTGTGCAAATTAATGTTAAAATTCTTAATAGACATTGCATGTCTTTGGGATTTAACCATAGGAGAGTGAGAGCAGTGTTCCTTTACTTTCTTACAGCTTCTTGCTTTGTTATGTATTCATATCAGTCAGCGACGCAGAAAGATTAGGAAACTGGAAGACGTGAGGTTTAGTTGTAAGGAAACACAAGTTAAAGTTCCAGGAATATTTCACCCCTGCTTTGCGTAGAGCACCATAGGGAGTATTAAAGAAATATATAATGGTACAGAACACCATAGGGAGTACTAAAGAAGTATATAACTGTCCAGGGAACATTTAGCTTTGTATATAGGCCAAGATTTATATGGTACAGGGAATGATCTAAAACTATGGTATATTGTACCAGTTGGAGTTCTCTAAAGAAGCAGAAATAATAGTGTGTGTGTGTGTGTGTGTGTGTGCATGTGCGCGTGTGCGTGCGCGTGTGTGCGCGAGCTCACATATAAATACATATATACAGTGTGTGTGTGTTGAGAGAGGGAGGGATGAAGGGAGGGAAAGAATGAGAGAGGTATTGAGATTTATTCTGAGGAATTGGCTTGTGATTTTGGAGGTTAGCAAGTCCAAAATCTGCAGGGTGGGCTGGCAGGCTGGAGATCCAGGGAAGAGCTGATTTTGGGGTTTAAGACTAAAGGCACCCTTCTGGCAGAATTTCCTTTTTCTGGGGTAGGTTACTCTTTCTTATTAAGGCCTTCAACTAATTGGATGAGGCTTACCCACATTATGGAAGGTAATCTGCTTTATTCAGAGTCTACCAATTTAAATGTTAATTTCATGTAAAAAAAAATCTTCACAGAAACATCTAGAATAATATTTGACCAAATATCTGGATACTGTGGCCTAGTCAAGTTGGCATGTAAAATTAACCATCACATATACTGAAATACCATTTTTAGATGATTAAATGTCAACCTGTGAAGAATATGGGGTAAGTGCTGTGGGTGGTGAAAATGGGAAAGGGGAACTTGTTTTGCTGTTATTTGCTTCCAGGGGAGAGAGAAGCTTTGAGATGTGCTCTGAAGGCCAGGGAGTTTTTGGCCTGGTGGGCAGAGTGTGGAGAACATGCCAAGAATGTGGAGCAGAATGCACAAGGGTGGGGTTGACCATGGCATGTCACGGGTGCTTGGGAAGGTTTGCCCTGGCTGAGTAGATGAGTAGGTAAGGCAAGCCCCTCTCTGGTTTCTCCAGTTTACTGCAGTAAGTAGAGAAGATGCTTGCTGCAGGCTGGGGTGACAGCTGGCTGGCACAGAGCAGTCAGTCTGTGCCACCGGCATTATATGCTACATTATACAGTGACATGCTGAGAATTCCTTTTTGCAGGAAGTGCTTCAAATGAAGTATAACTGCTTTAGATTTTTCTTATAAAATGTGGCTAAAGTTCTTTCCTCTGTCCAGCTATAAAAGATTCTTCAAAAGATCCACATGTTTGTGAAGAAACATAAGATCTTCAAATGGCATGAATTGCTGCCAAAAGTAATTCTAGTCTTTAAACTGTAGCAGGTTTTAGATCCAGTTTTTTCTGAAGTAGAAATAGAGCACAGCAACTTTTTTTTTCCACGTTGCAAGTTAAAGATCATAATTAGTTATGAAGATGCAATACGTATGAAAACATATAATAAAAGAAACTCTACCAATGAAAATAATAATCAGAAAGATAGCAAAACAATGTGTGGTAAATTGTTACAAAATGGCCCCTAATGAATCACCTTTGCAATGTGACTTGGCTTGTTCCTCTCATCAAGTGGTAGAGTCTCTATCCCCACCCCTTGATTTTGGGCTTATCTATGTGTCTTGAAGCTGGCCAGTGGGACATGTGGACATCAGCAGACATGATGCAAACAGAGGCACCCTGTGCAATGGGCAAGCCTTCTCAGGATGTTGCCACCATTAGGTGAAGAAGCCCGAGAGAAAAGGCCATGTGGAGAGGTAGGCCCACCCTTCCCTGCTGAGCCCAGTGGAGCTCCCTGAGTAAGTCAAGTAAGAACAGCAGAAGAGCTGCTGGGCCAATCCATGGACTTGTGAGAAATAGGAAATCGTGGCTTGTTTTAAGCAACAAAGTTTCGGGTAGTTTGTTACACAGCAATAGAGCACAGAACATCCTGTGATAAGTGGCTGGAATCCATGCATGTAATTATAATCATCACTTCATTACTGAGCCCTCAAGGAGGGAGGCAGGAAAGTAAACAGGTCACTTCCTTACAATGTGGTCAGTGTCCAGGAAGGGCTCTGGGCTGCTGGAGCCTTGACCTCTCCTCTTTCCTCCTCCGTAAGGATCAAACACTGCAGGGCAAGATTGAAGAGCTCTTGGAAGAGTTAAAGGAAGTAGACTATTTCTGTACTTCGTTAATGGTGTTTTCCATCTCCAAAGGCAGTTAGATTTCCCTTTTTGTGAAATGCTAAAAGAACCCCAACAGATCTCCTTTTTCAAAGAGTGTTTTCACTATTTTTGTATTCTGTTAGCAAGGGAATACGATGGCTAGACCCTAATTTCCCTCAGGTTAAATTAAAAAAAAAAAAAAACAAACCCTACATATTTTAGGTTCACCTTATAAGTTGCCACATACTACCATATTTAGTAAAGTATAGGTTGCACATTCGTTCACATTTTAACATCTCTGTAATTGGCACCTTGGAATCCCAGGTTAGGCAGGGAGCAGTTGTGGTCTAGTAGTATAGGAACTTTATGTTGGCACATTCTGTAAGATCAGGCAAATGCCAGCATCTGAGATTCCCTGAAATATGACCATGAAACCTTGGGTAAGTTAATTAGCTTCTCTAAGCCATGTGTGAAATGGAGAGAAAAGTTTCTCTCCCTCCTGGCACTGCTATGCAATTTAAATGAGATATGCATGTAAAGCACTTATAATTTGTAGGTGCTTTCATTTATTATTATTTTTTTCTCTAGCATTATTATTCACAGATGGTGTATTAGTCCATTTTTGTGTTGCTATAACAGAATACCTGACAATGGGTAATTTATAAGGAAAAGAGGTTTATATGGCTCAAGAGTCTGAGATGGCAGCTTTTACTCATGGCGGAAAATGACAGGCAGCTGGAGGGTGCAAGGAGGTCATAATATTTGCACTTAAATCATGGGATATCAGGAGAAGAGTAAATATCATCTGAGGACTTTGCCAGGGATTAATGCGTTTTTGGTTGTATGCAGGATAGGCAGAACATCATGTTAGGCAGAACTGTTACATTACTGTCTCATTTGAAGATTAAGTATGGTCTAAGGAGATAAGTATGGACACCAAATTATGGACAAAGGGTGGACTTGTGACTGTTATTTATAGGTGTCAACTTAACTAGATTAAGGAATACTGATAAAGCTATGTTATTAGGTATGTCCATAGGATGTTTCCAGAAGAGATTAGCATGAGAGCCTGAGTGGACTGGGTGGGAAGGATCTGCCCTCAGTATGGGCAGGAACCGTCCGATCTGCTGGGGGCCCAGAGAGAACAAAGATGGAGAAAAAAGGCAAATTGTTCTCTCTATCCACTGGAGCTGGGATACACTATGCTCTCCTGTTCATGGATATCAGAGCTCTAGACTCTTCAGCTTTTGAGTTCCAGGACTTACACCAAGGAGATCACATGGCCAGAGGAAGCAAGAGAGAGAGAGAGGGAGGGGAGGTGCCAGGCTCCTTTAAACAACCAGCTGTCCTGGGAGCTAATAGAGCAAGAAGTCACTCGCTATCCCCCTCCCCCAGGGATGGCATCAGTCCATTCATGTGTAATCCGCCCCCATGACACCTCCTAACACTACCTCATTGGGGATCAGATTTCAACATGGGCTTTCAGAGAGACAACATATACAAACTATATCAGGTGGTATTTATATTTTTTTCAGTTTGTTTCTCAAGCTTTATCAGCTGTTTAAACCATTTATGCTTTGGATTTCATTTTCCACTTCAGCATTGCTTATTATTATTTAACATTGATTTTATTCTTCATCACCTCTAATAATGCTCTGAATTGTTCAAGGAGATATAAAAACTAACAAACCAGTCTTTTGTTTCTCATTGAACTGTAGTCTGTGGTGTATGCTTGTGTTTTATGATTTCTGCACTTTAGTAATTGCATATATATTTTCTGGTAATTATTACTTTATTTTTGTTGCATTTAAAATTTTTGATTGATTCTGATATTTTAAAATAAGGTCATTGTTCTTTGAGTTAATAGTGTTAACAGATGAAGCCTAAATAACAAAGCTTTGTTTCAGACTTTCTTTAAAAAAAAAAGATGGCATATAACACTTTCCAGTGTTACTATATTATCTTCCCTGAAATTTCTTAGTACTTTGAAGTTTAATTTTGATCTTCATTTCAGTAAAGCACAGGAGCAGATAATCTTTATACCTTAGGGTTTTTGCCTTGCTACCCCGTGGTCTAGTGAGGGTGAGACAGTTGCCAGGTGTGATGTGCTTGCGGGGGAGTGTTCTTCCTGGCTGAGTGAAGCGAATAAGGCTTTGAAGTGATACTGTTAGTGCAGTAGTGTGTTTTGTGTCCTTATCTGATTGTGCAGGTATAGCTTCAGTAACTTGCTACCTATTCAGCATTGGAGTTTTGGCTAAAAGGTTGAAATTTCTCATCTGTAACTTATGAAAACTTAAGTTTTCCTCTAAAAGTGATTTTATCAGTAATTCTTAACAACTTGTAATTGTGGCCTTTTAAGAAATATTCTTAAAGATACTTAGATCACATTTCATTATATTTGAATTCCATTACAATTTATTTTTATAGATTTTATTTTGACACATTGTATTTATACGTACTTATGGGATACAGTTTGATGTTTTGATGCATATATATGTCGTATGATAATTGGGTTAGGGTAGTTAATGTATCAGTCACCTTATGCATATATCAGACGAGATCGGGCGCGTTCAGGGTGGTATGGCCGTAGACACCTCATGCATATATCATTTCTTTGTGGTGAAAACATTCAGAAGCCTCTCCTCTAGCTATTATGTAACATACAAAATTTGACTATTACTCATAGTCACTGTACTGTGCAATAGAAGATCAGAACTTGTTCCTCCTATCTAATTGAACTTGGTATTCGTTGATCAACCTCTCCCTGTTTTCCCTCCTCCTCATTTCCCCCAGTCTCTGGTAACCACTGTTCTACTCTCTGCATCTATAATATCAACTTTTTTTTTCTTCTTTGAGTCCACAAATGAGTTGAGGTCATTTTTTATTTGTCTTTATGTGCTTGGTTTACTTTACTTAATATAATGTCCTCCAAGTCCAGCCCTGTTTCTGCAAATGACAGGATTTCATTCTTTTATATGGCCAAATAGTATTCCATTTTGTATATATACCACACTTTTTTTTTTAATCCATTCATCTATTGTTGGGCACTTAGATTGATTCCATATCTTGGCTATTGTAAATTATGCTGTAGTAAACATGGGAGTGCAGATATCTCTTCGATTACTGACTTAATTTCCTTTGGGTATATACCCAGTAGTGGGATTGTTGGATCAAATAGCAGTTCTATGTTTAATTTTTTGAGAAACCTCCATACTGTTTTCTATAGTGGCTGTACTAATTTACATCTCCACCAACTGTGTGCAAGTGTTCTCTTTTCTTCACATCCCTATCAACACTTGTTTTCTTTTGTCTTTGATAATAGCCATTCTAACTGTAATGAGGTGGTATCTCATTGTTTTGATTTGCATTTCCCTGATGATTAATGATGTGGAGCATTTTTTCACATGCTTGTTGGCCATTTGTATGTCTTCTTTTGAGAAATGTCTATTAAGATCCTTTGCTCATTTCTCAGTTGGGTTATTTGTTTTTTTGCTGTTGACTTAAGTTCCTTATATATTCTTGATATATTATCAGATGTATAGTTTGTACATATTTTCTCCCATTCTTTAGGTTGCCTCTTCACTCTGTTAACAGTTTCCCATTACAATTTTGAACTAAGTCTGGTGTCAGTCTGCTCCAGGTATTTAAAGAGCATTGGTTTCTTCTCATTGAAAGGAATTGTACCAGATTGAAAAATATTGAATTTTTTTAGTGTTTTCTAAATTTCCATAAGAATACTTGATCAGCATTTAAGATAGTTAATAGTGCCGGGTAATAGTTTGAGTTGCAAATGAAATTCAACCCGATTCTGGCTGCTGTCTCAGGGAGATTGATCAGCATTTATTGAATAGATCTTATATGATTAGGCATTGGGGAGAAGTTGGCTGTGGGGAGAGAGAGATATGCAAAGGTGAGCAAAACAAGATATGATCTCTGCCTTTGGGGAGCTTACAGCCCAGTAGGGGAGGAAGTCATTAATTAAAAAATTCAATAAATGTAGAATTCCATTCGTGATAATTATTAATGAAATAAAGGTTCTTCATTGATGCTGTAAAGACCTATAAATGTGTGATTTTCTTCCCGAAGATGTTTGGGTGGTTGAGTAAGAGTTACTTAGATCATGAGGGAAGGAAGAGCACTGCAGGCAGAGAACAGTATATATATATATATATAAAGGCCCTGTGGTAGGAAGGATCTGGGAGGTCTGAGAGGACTGGACCGTAGAGGGAGAGGGTGTTACAAAATGAAGTTGGATAGGTACATAGGGTTCACACCACATAGGGCCTTGTCAGGCTGTATTAAACAAGACTCTTGAGGTGTAATTTAGAGACCATGAAATTCATGTATTACAAGGATATACAATTCAGTTAGGTTAGTGAATTTAGAGTTGTGCAGCCATCATCATAATCCAGTTTGAGACATTTCCATTGCCCACAAAAGTTTCCTTGTGTCCATTTGCGGTTAATTCACTAGGCAACTGCTGATCTGCTTTCTGTTTCTATGAATTTTCCTTTTCAAGGCACTTCATAAAAATAGAATCGTACAATATGTAATCTTTTTCGCCTGATTTCTTTCAATTTGTATAAGTTTTGAGGTTCACCCATGTTGTAATGTGTATGACTGGTTTGTTCCTTTCAGTTGCTGAGTAGTATTCCATTGTGTGGATATGCCACATTTTTTTCTGTTCACTAGTTGATTGATAGACATTTGGAATATTTCCAGTTTTTGGCTGTTATGAATAATGCTGCTGTGACACATTCATGTATGTGTCTTTGTGTAGATGTATGTTTTTGTTTCTCTTGGATGTATTCCAAGGACTGGAATTCCTGGGTCGTATGATGTTTATGTTTAACTTTTTAAGAAACTTCCAGACTGCTTTCCAAAGTATCTATATTGTTTTACATTTTTACCATCCATAGAGTATGTGAGGGTTCCGATTTTTCTGTATCAAACAGTTACCCTCGGACGGGAGCGCCGCCGCGCTTCCCAAGCGGCGCACTATCCAGTGCGCCACCGGGCTGGCCCGTAATATTTTTGATTATAGCCATTTTAGTGGGGGTACAGTAGTATCTTGTGGTTTTAATTTGCATCATCTTGTCATGAACTTATTAGCTATTCATATATCTTCTTTGGTAAAATGTCTATTAAAATATTTTGCTTATTTTTAAATTAGGCTGTTTGTCTTTTAAGTTGTAGGAGTTCTTCACATATTCTGGATACAAGTCTTTTATTAGATATATGATTGTCAAATATTTTTTTCCCAGTCTTTGGCTTGTCTTCAGTTTTATTAAAGGTGTCTTTTAACATGCAAAAGTTTTAAATTTGGTGAAGTCTGATTTATCAATATTTTTTTTGAACAACATCCACATGGGTGGTCAAAAAAAAACCAAACCAAACCAAACAAACAAAAAACCACCAAAGCCAAAGTTAGGGATTAGATTACCCAGGAAAAGGGAGCACAGAATGAGAAACAGAGAGGGTAAAATGGAGCTTTGAGGAATCTTAACATTTAATGTGCTACAGGAGACAGATCTATGAAGGAGAAATAGGGAAATTAGGAGAATGTTGTGTCACATAAGTCAAAAGAAGAGAGTATTTTCTGACTGGGAAGAGACTGGGAAAGAGAGTAAAGGTGTTAAGTCAAATAACTACATTGTAGGCTGGAAAATGTACTTTAGGCTTGACAGCATGGAGAGCATTGTTGACCTTACTTTACTGAAGCCAGATTGCAGTTAGTTGGAATGTGTGGAGAGTGAAAAAATGTTGAAGGTGAGTGTAGACAACTCTTTCTAAAAGAGCAGGAGCGATGGGACAATAGCAGGATATAGATAAGGAGTCAAGTGAAGTTTTCTCCCTTTTTAAAATTTTAACAAGACAAGGGAACCTCCTTATTTATTACCTAAATAGTGATCCAGGTATAATGCTACTTTTTGAAAATATGTGGAAAAGGTATTAATCCATTTAAAGTCATATGAGTTTCCTACCTGTTATTCTCTTATACTTTCTCTCCATTTATTTGTTCAAAATATCTTTAAAATTAAAAGAATGAGAGTCATACATGTACATAGTTTTTTGAAAAATGAAATATAAGCCCAAAGTCTCTTATTCAAAACCCTTTGGTTGGAACTATTTTGGAATTTAGCAATTTGCAGGTTTTTAGAAAGGTAACCTGCTACACATACTATGTATTATTGAATACCCCATTGAGGCTTGCGGTAACACCCCTTAATCAAACACATTACTACTTCTGCATTGAAGTATAATATTTACACTTAATAGCATTAGTAGAGTTTATGAGTAGCTTCCTATCAGTTCTGGTCAGGTTTTGGCCCCGTAGGAGTTCATATAAGGTCAGGTCTTCCTGTTAAGTAAGTAAAAGCAGGCTAAGTTGTCTTTGTTTTTTTTTTTTTTTTTAAGTTTCCTGAGTTCTAGAACTGTAGTTAGGAGATTGTAGTACCCAACCTCCTGTGATGAAAAACAGCAGTCCTTTGCTCTCTTCTTCCATAGTCCTTG